ATCTGTCCGCGGCCGCCGCCGCCTCGTCGTCCTCGTCGTCGTCCTCGTCGTCTTCGTCCTCGGCCGCTGCCGCCTCGCACTCCCCCGGCGCTGCCGGCCTCCCCGCCTCCTGCTCGGCCTCGGCGTCGCTGTGTACCCGGAGCCTGGACAGGAAGACGCTGCTCCTGAAACACCGGCAGATGCTGCAGCTGCAGCCGTCGGATCGGGACTGGGTGAGGCACCAGCTCCAGCGGGGCTGCGTGCACGTCTTCGATCGCCACATGGCCTCGACTTACCTGCGCCCGGTGCTCTGCACACTGGACACCACGGCCGGCGAGGTGGCCGCCCGCCTGCTGCAGCTGGGCCACAAAGGCGGCGGCGTGGTGAAGGTGTTGGGCCAGGGGCCGGTACCGGCAGTCACCCCGGCCCGCGCCGAGCCGCCTCTGGATGCCGGGTCCCGGCTGGCGCCCCCTGAGCCGCGGGACCAGGAGCCTCCGCCCGCGAGGAGCGCGCCGGGTGCCGTCGGGGGCCCTCAAAACACGCCCCCCGCCGATCTGCCGCTGCCCCCCGGCGGCCCGGGCGGCTGGATCCGGTGCCCCTCGCGTGCCAGCCCTGCGCCTTCCGACTCCAGCCCCGGAGAGCTGTGTGGCCCGCGGCGTCTAGACGGCGGGACCGCGGGCCCGGCCTCCGACACGGAGAGCTTCAGCCTGAGCCCCAGCGCCGAGAGCGTGTCGGACCGGCTGGACCCATACAGCAGCGGCGGCGGGGCCCCGGCCGCGGGGGAGCGGGGGGCCGACCCCGCGCCCGCCCCGACGGTGGCCACTGGCCAGCCTCGCCGTCCCTGCCGCCCCGCGCATCCCCGGCAGCCCTCCCCGTCAGCTTCCCCCCCGCGGCCGCAGCAGAAAGCCCCGAGGGGTGTCGACGTCCTGGGAGGGGCGGCCCGCGAGGGGTCTCAGGAGGAGGCGGCGGCGGCCCCGAGCGGCCCCCCCGCGACCCCCAGGAGAAGTGGAGTGACCGCCGAGAAGGCACCTTCGCCGCCCACCCTGTACGTGCAGCTCCACGGAGAGACCACCCGGCGCCTGGAGGCGGACGAGAAGCCTTTGCAGATTCAAAATGACTACCTCTTCCAACTGGGATTTGGGGAGCTGTGGAGGGTGCAGGAGGAAGGCATGGACTCGGAGGTTGGCTGTCTCATTCGCTTCTATGCAGGTAAGGAGATCACCTGTGTGTGGACCTGTGGCTCACACCCTGGCAGGGACGAGAAATGATTCAGATTGCCCAGCCCCAGAGTAAACGCGCGTCTTGGTGCGCCTTTGTCTGGTGTGTCTTTATAGCGTTCACGCAGTCTGTGTAGTTCTAAGTTGGGCCATCTTTAAGTCTGCGAGTTTTAGTAGATCTCAGGGGCTGAGATTGGAAAGCAAGTTGGAGGTGGTGGCCCAGTCCCCGGGAAGTTTACAGGAAACAGACTCCTGAAAGAGGCAGCAGCACGTTTAACATTGAAGTGCTTACTTCAGGCCTCTGGCTTGTTGGGTTTCAGGCAACTCTCACGTGGACATTACACCAACCGAGGGGAATGACCAGCAGAAGTGCTCCAGAGCACCTTCCCTACATTTGACTGTCCGCCTGTTACCTTTCATAGACTGTTAAGTACAGCCCCATGCCCCCGTGAGCTCATTCCTTGCCAACTGATGCCCTTGTGTGTTTCACCCTCTGCCACGCTTATTTCTCCGTGGAGTCCTTGCTGGCCACTTGACAGATGTGATCCTCGTTTTTAGTGATATTTTCTCCCAGCACTTTTGTTTTTTTAAAGCTTTTTTTTTTTTCAATTTCCATTACAAGTTTGACTCCTGGAAAAAAAAAATCAAAATTTTTTTTGCCTTTTTCTTCCAGCCTTTATATATTGCAGTAGAACTTGAAATAAGGCTTGCAATAAGAATTGAAATGGTTACTGTATCTTCACATCTGACCTGAAATCCTTCTCAGTCTTTTTTCAGTACCAGATCAAATTCTTTACAAAGAGTAACTAATGTAGTGTTTCTCTTTTGGCTAAAGACTTGACTGGTATTAAATTAGGAAGCTGTAGATCCTGGTTATTGTATTTGACTTTTATAAGTTGTTTGCATCATTTTTCTCCTCTGGTTTGAAGAATTGAGCTCTTACTCATAAGAAATTTTATTTAAAGTTCACATTGCAGAATTAAATCAGGGGAATTAATTTTTTTGCCAACTTGAGGTTTTAGGTGAAGGTGGAAAAGTAATCATACAATCAACTCTGTTAAATCTGTAGTTATTTTTTCAAATTTAATGTGTTTTGGTCCAACTTGTGTCCTAGTGGCAGTTTTTCTAGTTTGAATGAAGAAATCTTTACTCCCACATTGAAGTCTGGGTGACTGATAAGCATGTCTCTGATGAGTTGTTCTTGTGAGTTTCATTGAAGTTTTTCTGAAATTCTTAAGTGAATTTCTCATGAATCTTTGGTGTATAAAGAAAACCAGATCTTGGTAGCTTTTGCAGTGTGACATGTCTTTTAAAGTTTTTGGCCCAGAAAAATAGGAGGTTTTATTATGTGGGAGCAATGACTATATTTTTTTTCTCCTATTGCTCATATAATTTGGAAAATACTATTTTTCAAAAGCACTAAATAGTAATTACACTTGAAAGGACAATATTTTAACATGTCCTTAAAATTAAATGATACTGAGGGAAGTAGATATAAAGTAAAGCATTTAAAATAAGCAATGTTTAAACATCTTTATATGGAAGAAACTATGATTGTATGTGTTGTCTATGGGAAAATTTATGGGTGTCACAGTTACAAAATTTAAATTTTGATTCTCTTTTCAATTGTCTAAAATATTCTAAGTGGATGATAAGCAATTGTTTTTTTTTTCTAACTCAACGTAAAAATGACAAGTCTTTCTAGCTAAATCTTAAATTTCTGGCATAGTTATTTTAATTTTGTTTAATTTTTGTGAAAAGTTGTAATTGCTACTTTATCCTGAACTTATTGCTTCATTTCTGTATGCACAGCATGAATACACATATATCTCTTTGTATGTGTTCATAATGATAACTAATAAAGTGGAGATTCCACATACAGTATGTATGCTGCTTTTGAATATGAAACTAGTGTACAGGTGTTCTAGAAGGAAGATGCCTGATTGTTAAAAAGATGTCTGATTGCTTATTTTAAACCTAAGGGAATATACCAAACATCTCATCGCTGATACTCATTTGCTAAAGAACAAAACTTAGTATATGGTGAATTCACTTTTGCAGGGAAGTTTATTGACAAACAAAAGGGCCTTGATCTCTTACCAGAACATTGTCAGGATTTAGCATATAGTGAAGGTTTGCACCAAGATGAAGAGATTCCTAGAAATTATCTCTGTGCTCCAGTAGAATATAGGACATTGTAGAAAGAGAATGTTACATTTTGGTAGTTAATTTTTTCTCTTAGAAAAAAGAAAATTCATGTTTGTTTTAGATGACATCCTTTAAGAGAGTGTTGGAAAATTCTGTACCTTATTTGTTTTTTTATAATTCTTTATATAATTATTCATAAGTTACTGCATGTCTTTTTGTTTATGCATAGGTGGAGTTAAGACTAGCTAGAAAGTTGCCTTTGAGGCCTTTTAAATATATTCTTTAAAAAAATTTTTTTTGTACTTGTAGATGGACAGAATGCCTTTATTTTATTTGTTTATTTTTATGTGGTGCTGAGAATGAACCCAATGCCTCATACATGCTAGATAGGTGCTTTGCCACTGAGCTGCAGCCCAAGCCCCTGAATATATATTCTTATATGTAAATTGAATTTATTGTTTACTCTCTATCTGGTTTATCCAATCTGTTACTTTAAGAAGCTCTTGTCTAGAAGAAAACTTTGTATCTCTTGAGGGTCACCTTTCATTTAAATTTTAATATTTATAACCCAATTCAGATTGTTCTTTTAAAGATTTTGAAAGACACTTATGGTTGCTTTGACTACTTAAATATGTATTTGGGTAGAGTAAAATGAAAGTCTTTAATGAAGTTGAAGGTAGATAAAAGGTACCATCTAATTACAGAGTTGATAATGAAAAGTTATTTTGAAGATTGATATTGCACCAATAACATAGCCATTCTCTTATCTGTTTTAAATATGAGCAAATTTGAATAGCTTTATCTGAGTTTACTTTCATATGCTAATTATGCTCAAATTTAATCTCCTTTTAAAATCAGACAACTTAAATTTTACTTGAAAGAGTAATTTTAGATTAAAACAATTAAAAACTTAGGTTGTCTGACATAAATTATGAACTCCTAAGCAAAAATGTGTTTTATACTCCCTGTGGAGTCTGTGTCATTGAGCAAGGGTGAATGAAATTATATTTTTTGACTCTTTTTCTATCACCTTTTAGATCTAGTAATATAGCTATTTCATTTCAAATTTAATAATGAGAAAGGATGTTGACAGAAAGAAGAGCACACAAATTGTACTTAGTGAAAAAGATATTTTTGTGTGTGATTCTTTGAGATTGTTTGAAAGACAATCTCCTTACCCTCTCATATTTCTTCTCTTTTTTCTCTCTGGGAGAGGGAGTCCTTAACATGGTTCCTACATGGAAACCAAGAAGGTGTAGTTCAGCATGAGGCTGTAAT